AAAATTGTAAGTGAATTTTTGGTGTGAAATCCTGCTGCCGTAACACAAAGACCATCACAGCGTCAAGCCAAAGTTCCCAGGTTTGTGGGCTGCTCTTCAGCTCTCAGCTGCACCCTGAGCCCTTTTAGTGCTTCCTCGGGGTCTATCTATTTGCAATAGAAAAGAAGTTCAACTTGTGCTTTCTAGGAAGGGTGCTGGCAGGCTTAGTGCTGCCTGTATTTGTGTGCCTGCCACCAGCAGTCATGTGGTCCTCTCTTGCCTGCCATGCTCCTCGAGGCGGTAGTGCAGAACATGTAAGGTCCTAGCACACATCTTGCTGGAGCTCGTGTTGCTCTTCCAAAGATAATTTCCATGCAGTTATGAATCTCTAGCTTCTTTCTTTTTTCCCTGCTCATACTAGGTGAGGCAACGAAATGATGTTTTCTTTTTACGCTGCACATATTGAAGAATATGATATCTGCTGCTCTAGACATCCACAAATAACCTGGAAGCAAAGCATTCAAACCCAGATTAGCAATTCGTTCCTGGCTTTGTAAGCGGCTTCTTGCATGGCAAGATACTTCAGCCTTGGCAAGCCGTTTTGTCCTTCTGTGCCTCATTTCCCCGCTCTTAAAAGGAGGAGAATTCAGTTTTACTCCCTCTCAGTTGCTTTGCAGGTTGTGCTGGAGAGGGGCTATGGGGAGCCTTGAGTGGGATCTGGGTGCTGCCCCTCACCACCAAAGAGCTCAGCTTTGAGGCAGTGTATGGGAAGCTGCAAGCCTGTGTGTGCGAAAACCTGTCAAAAATCTCTAATCATCTACCTGAATCATAAACCAGCCTAAATCTGATAAGCTTTATTGGCAGCATCTGATTTCTTGTTAGTAACTGTGTTGCTCCGTCCCTGGCAGTGTTCAAGGCCAGGTTGGATGGGGCTTTGAGCAACCTGGTCTAGTGGAAGTTGTCCCTGCCTATGGCAGGGGTTAGAACCAGATGATCTTTCAGGTCCCTTCCAACCCAAACCACCCTATGATTTCACAGGCATCGTGTCGCGGGCTCCGCCAGCAGCATTTTTGCAGCAGGGCAGGAGGTGGTTCTGGCCCTGCAGCTCACGCGGGTTGGGAAGCAGCGCCTCGGCGGCAGGACTGGCCATGGCTGTGGGAACAGTGCTGCTAAAAATACAGCATTGTGAAAACTGCTGGCACCTCCACTTCCCTCCTCCACGGCTTGAGGTGCAGGATGTCTGTGCTGCTTTGACGCGCCCGGCAAGCCACCCTATAGCCAGGACCACCTCTTCCTCCTCCCCCCTGCCAGGAAGCCTATTTTGGAGGGGGCGGAGGGAAGGGAGCAGAAGGAAAAGGGCTGAGGGTAGCGGAAGGGACAAGGGGGTGATGCACATCCTGGTGTGAGTGTTTGGGCAGTATCAGGCCAAGGCGGGGGCAGCTTGGACATGGGGTGCCCCACATTAAAGGGGGAATGGGGCTATTCCATGCACCACTAAATTGTGGGAATTTCTTGTGGAGGGGAGGAGTGACAACCCTGAAAAACAGGTTTGTTCCCTTGCCCCACAGCTGGATCTAGGAAATTTTAGGGTAAGCAGATCAGTCAGTGAGGGTCAATCCAGGAGGGAGCCCCTCTCTGTGTGTGGTGGATGGGGCAGCAAACCAGGGCTGCGCACCCACCATCATCGTGACGTTCGGACAGTGGTACCCGAACCTCTTAGGGGGCTGCTTTTCCCCTCCCCTACACAGCATCCGATGGGGGCCTTCCCCTGCCGTGCCAAATGGGAACAGTGTCTCTGCAAAAAGCAAGCCTTGGGCAGGCAGGATCCAGCTGGAAAAGTCTGGCTGTCTGTGGAAGAAGCAATAAATCTTTGGAAGCTGGAAAATAGCAGTAAAGAGGAAAGGCTGGAGCCTGCAGTGCCACCTCTGCTGTGCCAGAGGGCTGCTGGGGTGCAATCTCCAGGGCCGGCCATGTCTTGGGGAGCACTGGGGATGCACTTCTGACAGTGCCTTTGTGTTTGCAGAGGAATGGCCAGCTGGGGAGGTTGGCTTGTGGAAACCAGCTCTAAAAGGGCTGGCGTTGCTGAAGCTGCATGTTTTAGATTGTTGCTTTCATTAAAGCAGTCCCCAAAAATTTAACTGGAGAGCTTGGGGTGCTTCTGTGACAAGTGATGTCCCCATCCTCTGACACTGCCATCTGACAAGCTGGGCACACAAAAAGCAGTGATAGCCTGCATGAGATCACAGATACTACAGCAGAAAAAAACCCAGGGTTATTTAATATATTAGGGTATGCAGCCTAGAGATGAGCATGGTGCAGCCATTGGTGATTGGAGCTCTTATGGCTCTCGTATTGTCAAACAGCAACAGTTGTTGGATGTGGAGGGAAGAAAATACCAAGCTTATATCTGGAACAAGTTGTATTAAAACGAGATTATCCCAAGCAAGGTGCAGTGGAAGTCAGGGTTACTATAGCAAGCTGTCAAGAGTTTCTCCCTCCTGTCTCCTTCCCTTGGGAGGAGAGATGCCTTAATTGTGCCCTGTGCTTCTTGGTGGTGGAAGGATGTGTGGATTTCATGGAAAAAGTTATTCACCATAGCTTAAACCCTGTTTTCATTAGTAAGTGAATGTTGTTTTCTCTTAAGAAATCCAGCCGCTGTTGGATTAAAATTTCCATTGGGAGGTCCTCCATGCTCTGTTAAAAAAGCAAATGGACTTGGGCAGAGCCAGGAGGGATGTGGGGTGTTCCTGGGGCACATTCAGGATGAAACCAGGAACACCTGGAGATGGTTCAGCTGGCTGCCATAGGCAGACCTTACCGCTGGGGTGGGTTTGATGAGACTGAAGAGGCTCTATCCCTTCAGCTCATGCTCCCCGATGATTAGGAAATATCTTGAGGATAGCTTGCACCCTGCTTTCAGTTGTATGTTTTAGGGCAAATTTGATTGGAAAGCAGCTACTACTCCTTGTGTTGGTGTCACCCTAGCCTTGCCATGGGTGGCAGGGGGTGCTGGGGTGGGTACTGCTGGGTGCAGAGAACAGCATGCCAATGCAGAGCAGTGTTTCCTTGCACGGGGAAAACCAAACCAAGAAGGGCTGAAGCCTTTTCTTCATCTCTCCCAGCCAGCACAAAGCCCCTAAACTTCCTTGGGATCTTGTCTCCCCTGGGAGCCCTTGAGAGACCTTTACTGTAAGAGTGGCACTGATTAATTTGGGGACATTCCTCTTCTCCCAAGAGGATAAACACAGGCTTCGTTATGCCCTCAGACAATGAACGAGTCATGCCAGGCTGGATTTGGGTAACTTTCTGCAAAGCCACAAGCTGCCTTATTTGGAGTTGGATTTGAGCACAGACCAGCTTTCGTGACTTTTCTCCATAGCCAGTGTTTGGAGAACCTCGGGCTCTCCCAAGTGTGAGAGGGATGATGGACCATGCCAGTGGGGAAGTTGCATTGGTTGCTGCGGGAGAAGTGTTAAAAGCTGATTATTTTGGAGGCAAACTGGGGAAAGGCTTGTAAAATCTTCCCTTCCTCCTCAGGCAGCTGCGTGGGGATTTTCTCCCCCTGGTACACAGAAAAGCCCCAGGGTCAGCTTGCCCTGTGAGTTTTGCATTAATTGTGTGGTTTTGCTGCAGCTTCAATGCCACCCCTGTAAAAAACCCTTGACTGGGATTTGCAGAAACGGTCAAGGAGGAGAACCACCAGCTCACCTCCCGACAGCTTGTCCTGCACATCCCACTCCCTGTGTCTTCACTGAGGCTCTGCTGTGCCTCGCAACTGGGGACTTCGCACTTTTACTGAACAAACTCTTTTTGTACTTGTTTTCAGTGTGACTGTGATTGGGCCTCTCATGCCTGTAGCTGACCTGACTCGGAGCCTTTTGAAAGAAATCATGTTTGCACTTTTCAGCTCTTTGGTAGTTAACTTCCCTTTACTAAGATGAGTGGCTTCTGGGATTTAGGACACTCAAAATTACATTGTCATTTGAACAAGCATTTCCAATCTTTCATAGAAGTGATACCAAATTCTTAAGGGTTTGTTGTTTGGGGTTTTTTACATGTGTGTTTATATTTTCCCCCCTCTCGTGGTTTTAAATAGAAGAGGGGGTGGGTGGCATGGAGAACACAGCAAGTCCTGCTGGAACTCTGGCTGGAGTTCCTCTCTCTGACACCTTCCCTGCTGCAGTACCCCCAGCCTGCTCCTATCCTCTGCTGCCATTCCCAGCCCCTCCCTGAAAGGGAAAACGGTGAGGAAGTCAGTCTTCAAACTTCCCATTACTTGGACATAAGTATTACAGTGGTAAGCTGGGTTGATGCTCCACGTGCAGAACATCTCCTGTGTTTGATGTGTGGTTTTGCCTTTGCACTGAGGGTTCTGTTACACGTGTCAGTGTGTACATGTGTGTGCGTGCTCTGCTCTTCCGCTGGACCACAGCAGCAGGCAAGGCAGCAGTTTCAGCCTTGTTGACTTACAGAGCTGCTCAGCTCTGTTGAGCATCTTCATGGTAGCCTCTAAAAGCAGTGTGGTAGTGCCTTGGCTTGTCCTGAGGCTTTGCTCTGCTTCAGTCCCTGTATTAGGACATGAAGGAAAGCCTCACCTGCCAGAGGAGCGCTAGGTCTGCTAAGAGCGGAAGCCTGACCTTGGATGGGAAGTAATTTGCACATGAGATTGGGGGCAGAGGGGAAAAGCTGATGATCCTCCTGCTTTCAAAGCTACAGTCTCCCCATCCTTCCTACCCAGTTCTCAGCAGATCAAACAAAACCCTCTTTGTACATCACAGAGAAATGAAATGGGATGATAACAGCCTGTTGGGGAAAAAGGGCTATTTGGGGCTGATCCTAACATCTGTTGAAAAGCTCTCCTAAAAGCCTGAGTTGCATGTGTCATGCTTCTTGGGTAAGGCTGAGCCTTCCATTGTAACTGAGTAATAAAATAGCTTTTAGGAAAGAAGTCACCTGCAGGAACTGGAAGGGGCTTTGCACATCTTTTCACAAAGCAGGCAAGATTGTGTGGCTCATGCGGTATGCGGCACAAAGTACGTTGCAGGGGTGGGACAATGGTTGGGAAGGATGGTCTTGTACGTGAAAGGAGTAAATAAGACTTTGCAGAAAGATGAAAAGCAGGCATTCTGCTCCCACCCGAAAACTGCTGCCGGCGGCTGGAGCAGTGGGTGATGTCTGCTTCCCTTTGCTTTCTCACCAGCTGGCTGGAGGCATCATCCTGGGAGTGGCCCTGTGGCTTCGGCATGACTCGCAGACGACAAATATCCTCTACCTGCATCTGGGCGAGAAGCAGGCCCCCAACACCTTCTATGTTGGTAAGTAGGTGTGGGGATGCTGGTGTTGCTGCATGGGTATCGTGCCCCAGGAGCGGCTGCAGTGTGCCCAAAAGCAGGGCGGAAAGCTCTGGGTCGGCCTCCCTCTGCCCGTATGCTCCCCAAAACATCCCCTGCCATGCCAGTCAAAGTGTTGGTTGAATGTTGGCTGTGGCCCAAGCACAGAATCCAAAGTCATGGCAGCTAAAAGCACAAAAGATGAATTGCAGCGTAGCAGGTTGTCCCACTGTTCTTCGCCACTGTCTCCAGAGCATGTTTGGGAATAGGGGGGACTTTCTGGAAGTGTGTCTCGTTTCCTATGCAAAGGGATATAAAAGTAGCAGCTGGCAATGGAAAGTGAGCTCGGTGAGCTCATGACTCATGTTCTCCAGGAGGGCAGGGGGAGCCTCTGTGTGTTACGGTTAGGCTTAGCACGATTTTTATTAATTTGATAGCATGCTGGCTTGCTGGAAGATGAAACCCCCTATTTTTGCCCTGCTCTCCAATGATCCCTCGCAGATGAGGGGGAGACGACTGCAGGAGGGGCTGGCTGCCAGGCTGGAGCCAGCTTGGAGTGCGAGCTGCTGGGGCTGGGGACAGGACCCATCTGATCCAATGTCCTGTTCTCACCTAAAGCTGAAATTACTTTCTGGAAAGGGTTCTCCTTTGGTTTTCCCTGCTTGTCTACAAAACTGCATGCCTGAGCCCTCTCCGTGGCTGTGCCTGGTTACAGTCCTGCTGTAAATAGCAGTGGGTTTTCCTCTCTTGTTGTCTCCCCTCTCCTGCCTCACACCCAGAGCTGTACTTGCAGCATTTCCCCTTCGTGGATTTCAATTTTAAAAAAAAAAAAAAGAGAACTCTTAAGAAGTTAAGCTTCTTTCCAGGAACCAACCCAAACATCTCCTTCCTTCCGGAGGCCAGCAACTGATGTCTCCCTAGTTAACACATTTCTCCCAAAACTTGAGGGACCTGAAACACGGGAGCCAAGTCGTTCTGTCCCACCTGTTGTGCATCTGTTGCTCTTCCACCTCTGTTTTATCTTTGTTCTCGGCCTTTGCTATTTAGAAGGCGATGGGGAACAGACCACGGGTCCCACCACTGTGCTGGTCTTGTGACGCCCAGGATTGGCCCATGATTTGAGGCTGGATGTCTTTTTAAAGTTATATTCAGCAACAGATTGGCCTGGATTCCTTCTGGCAGCTGTAATTTCCATGCAGTAATAACAGCAGAGCATTTCTTTCAGCTGCTGCCTCTCCCAGCCAGCCCGCTGGAGTCTGAAGGCTGGGATTTCTTTTTGCCTTTTATTTTTTTACCCCTTCCCCTCTCCTCCCTCAACTGATACTCCTCCGTCTTCTCCGCTGGCATCCAGCATACACATGCACATGATGTTTCAGCTTTGGGAGTGGAATCCCCTCTGGGGTTGGCTTCCAGAGCTGGGGGTTTTTTTTGGGTTGTTTTTTTCTTTCCCCTTCCATTTTCCCCTTGCAAACCACTTTTTTGGTGTCTGGCACAGGGCACTGGTCCTGGGATCTGTCAGGAGGCTTTTAAAAGCTGTCCAGGCTTTGCTGCAGTGCTGCAGGACAGGAGGAAGCAATAAAAATGGTCAGAGGAGGAAAACTTGTACCATGGGGTTTGTACCTAGTGAGGAGGGGGAGGGGGAAAACAGTGCTTTGGTGTCTCCTGATTTCTCTCTATGTCCTTTCCCCTGCCCCAGACTTGGAGCTGTTTTGTTAAAAGCTGTTTTCCCAGGTTGTCTGTGTGTTACAGGAGAGGGAAAATTAATTAACACAGCTGGGTGGCGTGTGGGAATTGCTGGCAGTGGGGAAATGGGTGAAGGAGGATGTGGGCAGCAGGGCAGCTGCTGGGGTGCCATACGTGATGCTTATCTGCCTTCAGCCTGCTGTGGGAGCAGAAGGAGAGGAGCGGTCCCTGCTCTCAGCTTCACCTGCAGCCAGGCTGGACCACTGCAGCAGCTGCTCTTGCAGCCGCATGGGTACAGGCAGCTGTTCCCTGCTCACTTACCTACCTGCGAGGAGGGAGCTCCTGGGGTTGGGGTTGCCCACAAGCAGTATTTCCACGCCAGTCCCCTCCCCACCCCACCCTCAGCACCTTGGCACTGCATCCAGTGAGTTGTCTTGTGGGCTGGCTTAGGAGGTTATTAAGTGAGCTCTTGTTCAGGGGCTTTTCCTCAGCACGGCTCGCGAATCCTCTGATCCCTAACCACTTGTTGCAGTCTTGGCTTTTGGCACTTCCATTTTGGCTGTGGACCCAATGCTTCAGCAGATGGGAAGTTAACTGCTTCAGCGCTGTCAAGACCAAGTGCTACCAGGGATGGGGATAGCTGGAGCACCTCACTTTCATGCTTTCGTGACTATAAAGGGAAATTACTTGCTCTTCGTCTGAGCTAGGCTTCTGGTCTAACATGCATCTATTTGCTTTATTTGTAGATGAAAACCTAAAATCCTTCTTGCCGTTGTGTACCACTGCTTCTGAAATGCTCTGCGTGTCTAGGCAAGGTGGTGTTAGTGAGTCAGAAAACATCCTTCAAGATAGATAGAAGCATTAGTAAGTTGGATGCTGACAATTGGTGAACCACTTCTTAGATATTTATTGACTGTGCACTTAAAGTATCATTTAAAAACAAAACAAAACTGTGATTCAGTTGGTTATGAGAGCCCGTAGGAAAAGGCTGAGCTGGTCCATCTCTGCAGGTACCAGTACAAACCGGAGCAGTCTGATCTCTCTGCAGCAAGTTGGTGTTGTGGTGTCATGGTTTTAAGAGCCTCTGGGGATCCAGAAGAGACAAGTGACACTGAACTTCCTGCTTTTGCCCTATCTCTGTGGGATAATAGTGAAGATAATGTGACAAGGGAAAGCCAGGTTCCCTGCCCTTCAAGGATTTGGTTATGTCGTGCCCAGAGATGGCAACCAATGCCAACCTTATGAAGTTTAACCAAGTGAAGTGCAAGGTCCTACACCTGGTTCAGGGCACTCCCGGGCACAGCTACAGGTTGGGCAGAGAAGAGATTCAGAGCAGCCCTGCGGAGAAGGACTTGGGGGTGGTGGTTGATGAGAAGCTTGACATGAGCCAGCTTCAGTGTGCGTTTGCAGCCCAGAAACCAACCGTATCCTGGGCTGCATCAAAAGGAGCGTGACCAGCAGGTCAAAGGAGGTGATCCTGCCCCTCTACTCTGCTCTCGTGAGACCTCACCTGGAGTATTGTGTCCAGTTCTGGTGTCACCAACATAAAAAGGACATGGAGCTGTTGGAGCAAGTCCAGAGGAGGCCACGAGGACGGTAAGAGGGCTGGAGCACCTCCCGTAAGAAGACAGGCTGAGCAGGTTGGGGCTGTTCAGCCTGGAGAAGAGAAGGCTGCGTGGAGACCTCAGAGCACCCTTCCAATATCTGAAGGGGGCCTACAAGGATGCTTCAGATGGACTCTTTAGCAGGGACTGTAGCAATAGGACAAGGGCGAATGGGTTTAAACTTAAACAGGGGAAGTTCAGGTTAGATATAAGGAAGAAGTTCCTTGCTGTGAGACACTGGAATGGGTTGCCCAAGGAAGCTGTGAATGCTCCAACCCTGGAGGTGTTTATGGCCATTGGGCAGAGCCTTGGGCAACATGGTTTAGTGCGAGGTGTCCCTGCCCATGGCAGGGGGGTTGGAACTAGATGATCTTAAGGTCCTTTCCAACCCAAACCATTCTATGGTTCTATGGCCGCTGCAGGCAAAATACTTTCAGGAGGATAGGGACAAAAGACCTGGCTCTTGTTTGCCTTAGCCCCTCACCCTTGGGTTTCACACTTCCTCCTTGCTGCAGTGCCTGCGTGCTGGGAGCATTGCTGGGTGCTCATCCCTGCTGCCTGCCCTTCCCATGCTTTCCCTGACACTACCCAGTGAGGAGCAGAGTGCAGCAGCCGGATGGTCTCGGCTTCACTCTCTCCTGCCAGATCCAAAATAGGAAATCTGCCTCCAGCTGCTCCCAGCAAGTGACAGGGTGACACAACCCATGGCTCCAATTAGCTTGGTCCTGGGAGTGGGGCCAGATGCAGGGAAGAGTGCAAAGGCATCCAGAACTGGGGTGTGGTTTTCCATGTAGCTTTGGGGGTGAGGAGGGGCACTGGGTTTGCTTCTGTTTAGTTTTTTTGTGTCCTATTAGTAAACCCTCTCGTGGGCAGTGTCCCAGAGCGTGGCAGCACTGGTGCTCCTTGGGAGGCGTGTGAGGTTTCGGACAGGCTTGCAGTGGTGGGTTAAACTTGCCTGCTGCCTCCACTCCCTTTCCTCACCATCCTGCTGGGTATCGCTGCCTCAACAGAAAGGCAGCAGGGTTTTTTATCTTTTTATTTTTGGGTCTTTTTCCCTAGCAACTAGGCTGGTGATTGTGGATCTGGCTCCCAGGCAGGTCAAGCAGCAGCAAAACCTGTTGGAGATAGCAATAGCTTTCTGCTGATTTGAAGGCAGTGAGTTTGCCCGCAAAGTAGTGTGCTGCTGTAGCACTGGAGGGGAGGCTGGCTAACAGGAACACAGGCCCTCTAGTGAGGTTAATCACAGGCTCCCTTCACTGTCCTGCTCTGTACAAATACAATCTGGGATAATTATTTCTGTCCTGGAAATGAGTTCAAGCTGCTTTTCATGTAGAGTGGGCTTGAAGAAATGGGCCAGAAAGCACAGGGATGCTTTGAAGTCTTTCTCGCACATGATTACACATGTGAGTTGAACTGCAGTTGCAACTGTGCACTTGTCCTTGAAGTCAGCATGACATCCATCGCTCACAAGCATTTGCGGGTGTCCTCAGGATTTTTGCAAGTGCTGTTGTGAGGCTTTGCTGGCCTCAGGGAGGTCTGACCCTTGCAGAGAGGAGGGACTGCCGTGAAGCAGTGCATACATGGGTAGGAGTTAGGATGCCTGCCTGAGCTTCCCAGGGCCTTGCCTGCTGCCCTTACAGCATGGGAGGATGCTTTGGCCACTCTTGCTGTGGGTTCCAGATGTGGCCAGCAGTGCAG